ATGATATACACCAAGCTTCTTTTGGAAACTACTCGAAAATTTATGTTTCTTCCTTCTCTCATCTTCTTATCATCTAACACAATATGTGTTAATAGTTAACTATATATGTCAGTATTTAAGTTATAGGACATGAAAGAAGGAGTGTTGATCAGCTAGGAGCAGAATGAATGCCATTCATGGGCCAAAAAAAGACTATTTTCCTCTTTTGGGAAATGGTTAACATGTTAATAGTTATGTGATAGTAGTGTTATGTAAGGTGGAAGCAGAACTTCATTATCATCATAATTTGGAGAATTAAAGCATGGCTCAAAGAAACATGTATGGTACTAAGTTGACAAGGGTCAGACCATGATGCTTTTATAATGTATCATCTTGCCTAGAGTGCACTAGTTTTCCTAGAATTATTTTATGTTTACAGTTTGGGTGGGCCAAAAAGGCAATTTTTGGGAGATGTGTAATGTGGAAAGGAAATAGTAGCCATTTGTAATTCACATATGTTGTTGCTGACTGGTGACTCACTTAACTGACTCATTTTGTTGCAGCTTGGCCTGCAACTACTCTACCATCCTCTAGATCCTCCTTCAGCTTCTCCAACTCCTGGCCTATGTATGTGTTTTTATGACAAACAGTCCCAGCTTCTGAAGGATACCCTCACCATCAAGCTCAAAGGCAACAAGAACTAACATGGATTTCAGTCCATTTTGATGGGGTTCAAGTTTGTACTTGTGACTTCCAGCCTGACCCTGACTTCTTCCATTTTACTTCCATCTTCCTTTCTGACTACTCTGCCAACATCAAATTCCAGCATCAAACACAACAGCATTATAAGACTGCCTAACCAGCTCTCATAATTGTGCAAGCCAATTCTCTTTAACGAATCCATATATACATGTACATATATTTAATTACTTGTTGTGTGTTTCTGGTTGAACACTGACTGATATATCAGGGATAAAGAAGGTCATTTCATCATGAAAAAGGAGTCAATCAAGAGGCATAACAGGCTGGGCATGGTTGGTCACACCTGTAATCCCAGCACTTTGGAAGGCCGAGGCAGGCAGATCACCTGAAGTCAGGAGTTTGAGACCAGCCTGGCCAACATGGTGAGACCCCGTCTCTACTAAAAAAACAAATACAAAAATTAGCTAGATGTGGTGGCACGCACCTGTAGCCCCAGCTACACCGGAAGCTGAGGCACAAGAATAGCTTGAACCCATGAGGTGGAGGTTGCAGTGAGATCATACCACTGTGTCACAGGATACTTTGGGTGTTGCTTTTCTGGTCAGAAACCTCTGTGGCCAGTGGTACCTTTGCCTGAGTTTTGCTTGGGCCCACTGGGATTGTTCTGCCCACTCAGGCTGCGCTTGGCTAATGCTACCAGCCTGGATCTCACCCCTGCCAAAGGCGAACCAGCTGTGGAGTAGCAAGGGGTATGTGAGCAAGAGAGTGTGGGGTCTGGCCACTGCACACAGTCAGGCACGCTGGCTGCAGCAGGGTGGGCAGCTCCAGGTGCTACTATGGGCCCTGGCTCACTGTGAGGCTGTGACTGGACTAAGTACACAGCAGTGGTGCCCAGAAGCTTGGAGACTCCAGGAAGTGCAGGGCCCCAAAGGGAGTCAGAGTTCTGGCTCAGGAGCTTCCTGGTCTGGGCTCCCCGAAGGGCCACAGCTCTTCTCTCCTCTTTGCCTGCAATGTGGTGAGCAAGGGGCATGTTTCAGCCCTGTTTGTGTTATAGCTCTTTCAGCCCCACTATTCAGCAGGTCTCAAGTTTTTGTCCTGCATCCAGAAAGAATGAGGTAGGCAGACAAGTGGAGGCTGAGCAAAGTGAAGAGGAGCTTTACTGAGAAGGAGGAGCTTTACTGAGCAACAGGATAGCTCAGAGGAGACCCTGGAGTGGGCAGCTCCTTTCTGCAGGCAAGACATCCTGTTGTCTCTGCAGCTCTCAGCAGAAAGAAGGCCCTGGAGTGGGTAGCTCCACTCTGCAGGCAGCTTGTCCCATCATCTCTGCAGCTCTCAGCAAAGAGGAGGCCCTGAAGTGGGTAGCTCCTCTCTGCAGGTTGGTCCTCCTGTTGTCTCTGCAGCTCTCAGCAGAAAAGAGGCCCTGGAGTAGGTAGCTCCCCTCTGCTGGCAGGTCATTCTCCCCAAGTCTGGCTGAGTCCAGGGACTTTTACGGGCCTCAGAGAGGAAGAAGTGCATGCTGATTGGTCCATGGGCAGATCCAAGAAAAAGCACCACCAGTTCCCTCTCTGGTCAGGGGGACTGGTGGCCTGGTCATTAGGCTTCAGGCCTTCCCTGGGGACTTGCCCCTTTCTGCCCCAGAGCATGTCGCCTCCTACTGCTTTCTATGGTGCCCAGGCTGTTTGTGGGGAGAAGCACCTGCAGGCCAATGCCAAACTGCCCTTGGCCTTCCCTCGGCCTCCCTCCTATGTTTGTCAGCACCCAAAGTCTGGAGGGGGCTGAGGCAGCAGGGGAATGGCCTGTCAGTACTGCCTCAAGTATGCGCACAACTGGCTGGGCTGCAACAGCACCCTGGCTCAGCCCCAACCTTGCTCCTAGATGGGAGCAGTCACCATGAGCAAGGTGAGGCCAGGCAGCAGAAGCAGATACCTCTGAGCCTGCTGAGGTGGGGGTGCCTTCCCAGGCCCATAGAGTGCAGAGATATCCAGGTTGGTCCACAGCCACAAGTTGGGTGGCTACAGCTGCACAAAGGAGGTGGGGGGATGCAGGCGGGGCTCCTGCCTGCTCCCAGCCTCCAAGAACATGGTCTGTAGCAAGGACTCGGGTGGCTGCAGTTGGACCTGGGAGGGTGGGGCTCCTGCCTGCTCCCGGTCTCCAAGAACACAGGGAGGCTCAGCCAGCAGCCATCACTTGGGCAGTTGCAGCTATGCCCGGGGAGCTCCCACCCACCAACTTGGAAGGAGCTGGGCTCCTGCTTGACCCCATTCCCTCTGGCTCTGTGAAGCTCACAGCACGGGCAGAGCCTCCTGGCTGCAGCCAGCATCCTGGCAGTGGCCACTCCAGATGGTCCAGATGGCCCACCATTGCCATCAACAACACTCCAGCCTGGGCAACAGAGAGACTCCATCTCAAAGAGAAAAAGGAAAAGGAATAATAATTCTAAACATTTATGCAAATTGTGAGCTTCAAAATACATAAAATTAAAACTGATAGAATCACAAGGAGAACAGACAAAACCACAATTATTGACAGAGAATTCAATACTCATCTTTCAATAATTACTTTTAAAATTAGTAGAAAATCAGCAAAGCATATAGTAAACTTCAGTAATACCATTAATCAACTAACAATAATCAAATAGTCGACCCAACAGCAGCAGAATATATTAATATATCCTTCTCAAATGTGCATGGAACATTTATGAAGACAGACCATGTTTGGGGCCATTAACGAGTCTCAATAGATTTTAAAGAATTCAAGTCATACACAGTATGTTCTTTGACTACAATAAAATTAAATTAGAAAGAAATATCAGAAGAATCTCTAGAAACTCCCCAAATATTTAGAAACTGAAATAATCCAAGTTCAAAATATTCTGAACTGAATGAAGACAAAAACACAACACATCAGAATTTGTGAGATGCTGCTAAGGCTGTACTTAGGGGAAAATTTATAGCACCGAATTTCTGTAACACAAAATAAGAAATATCACAAATCAGAGACCTCAACTTCCACTTAAAGTAACCATAAAAAAAGAAAAAGGCAAATTAAACCTAAAGCAAGGAGAAAAAAGGAAATAAAAGGGGCAGAGTGGAAATTAATAGACCAGAAAATGAAATACAATTTTTAAATAAATGGAAAGCTGGTTCTCTGTAAAGATAAAAATGACAAACCTCTGGCCTATCTGACAAGGGCAAACAGGAGAAGATACAAATTACTAATAGCAAGAATGAAAGAGGTAACATCACTGTAGATTCAACAGATACAAAAAGGACAAAGTAATATTATAAACAACTTATGCCAACTTATATACAAAATTGGCTGATTCTTCAAATGATACAAAATACTAAAGCTTACCCTAGAAGAAATATATAACCTGAATAGCACTGTATCTATTAAAGAAACTGAATTTGTTAAAGTCTGGAGGGGGCTGAGGCAGCAGCTACCACTTAGCCACCCACTATTTTCTCAAACCTCTTCTTTCCCCACCGGACAGGTTAATCCAAGTCACACGTCTCATTGGTCTCAAACCAGAAATGAGATCCTAACTTCTCATTTCCTAAGATATTTATATGAACACAGCAATATCCTTTCCTACCCTGATTACCCCGCACCCTCCATTTCGGGTCCTTCTCACCCTGATCAATGAGAATCGTTCTAGCAAGCAAACCTTAAATAGACCTCGTACCCTTTCTAGATTGCAAAGTAGATAAAAATCCAACTTTCCGTTAATTCAGGGATTAATTACTGAGCATCACTTATTTCTTGCGCATTGGTTCTCAAAATGTGGTCCCAGGACCAACAGCTTCGGGATCACCTGAGAACCTGAGCTGCCACCGCCCCCTCCCCCACTACTAAATCAGCAAGTCCGGAGTTGTGGGGCAGAAGTCAGTATTTTAACAAGGCCTCCAGGTGATTCTAATGCGCGCCACTCTTTTGGGGGTGTAAAAAACCAGAGAGGACAGGAAGAAAGTTAGAATTAAAGCATACCTACGAATCAGACAAGCTTCAGGGGGAGGGGCGGTTATTTAAAAAACGATAACTAATTAAGAACTTGTATGTAGTAAGAAAACCTACCCTGCCCCAGAGAGCTTTCCCGAAAGATAACGGATTCCGACATTCACCTCAAGAACCGGCAGACAGAGAAGCAAGGGATCTGTCGCTGGCCAAGCAGGTCCCTGGCTAAGGCACTGCTAGGGACAGCTCGCGGGAGTTCGGGGGTTAATTCTCGGCAACCCTCCCTCACCCGACGCCCCGTCGCCGCCCCGCGCCTGCGCAGTAACGCGCCATAGAGCTGAGCACTCCTCCCAGATTCCTAGAGCTGACAGGGCGATGGCGGGTTCGCGGGTGTGAGGCTTCACAGCGGTCCGGTGACCAAGTCGAGGTACGGGTGATGTCGGTTCGCGGCTAGCAGAGGAATTCCGGATGATCTTGCCTAACGAGCGGCCTCATAGCGCCGCCAGGAAACTGTGCGTGGTTTCTCGAGTCCTTGGAGAGTGAAGGCTCCCGGGCACGGAGAGCCCATTGGTTCACGGCCTAGTGTTGGGTTTGTCCCCAGTCAGCCCTTGCTGGCCTTGGGTTCAACCGAATGAACGCCAGAAACTCTGTGGGGCGAGTGGAGTCACCAAGCGTGGTGCATCCACACAAATCAGCCTACCGTACTGGGAAAGAGCCACCTGAATTTGTGAGTGTTGGAAAAAGCAAAAGGGGAAGAAAAATGATCAGTAGTGTCATTTTTGGGTAGGAAGGGCAGCGAATAACATAGTGTTAACCACTAGAATTCATTGGAAAATTCCCCCCCTGCGTTATCTTTACAGTTTCACCTTTTTTGGGTAGCATTAACCCCTAATTTTGTTTGAACATCTCTAGACTTGGAATGGGGAATGTGTGTCTTAAGTGGGTTAATCCCTGGCTCTTCGATGATGAGGAGGAAGCCTAATACATTCTGAGAGAAAAGCAACTGGAAGTCAAATGAGATTTTTTGTTTTCTTCTTCTATCTTGAGGATTTTTCTGGTGGTCTAGTCTCAGAGATTACATCTGTAGTCAGCACAATGATTCCCTTCCAAGCCCAGTGGTGCCCAGTTGCCTCCAGGTCCCAGACCTTTATGTGGACAAGAAAAGCTTACAGAGGAAATGGTAATTCTCCACTTGCACCCTGAGGTGTCCAGTTGCAGCCCATGGAGATCCAGTTCAATTATGAATCTCAGGAACACCACCTTCTGTCAGGTGAGAGGCAGGGTATTATGTCTTTCTTAGTGGCTTTGGCGGGGTGGGGAGGATGAGGGGGTGTTACCCTATGCTAGTGTCTTCAAATGATCCCCCTTAACTCTGTTAGGCAGTATTACCTCTTTAGTGTACCAGGCATAGTCATGTGACTTTATTTCAAAATCAGGCAATCAAATTCTCATGCAGCTCTCTCCACTTTTTTAAGACCCCAAACTCATTCATTTTTCCTTGTATAATGACCTCATTGCTAATCTGTCAGTTTTGATCATTTCTCTTATCTACTGTAGGGGCATAGTTAAAAGTTCTGGAGTCTGACAACCTGGATTCAAACAGTAGTTTTGTCACTTAGCTAGCTCCAGTAAGTTACTCATATATTTCATGATTCTGTTTCCTCATTTTTCAAGTGTATAATAATTCATACCTTGAAGTTATTTTGAGATTTGTATCTGTGTATTACTCCAGAATAAAGAACCCCAAAATTTAGTGACCTGAAACATCAGACTTTTTAAACCACATTATTTCTTATGGTTCTGTAGGTCATCAACTTGAGCTGGGTTCACCTGGGCAATTTTTTTTTTCTCTTGATCTTTTCTGGGGTCATTTATGCAGGTATCTCAGGGCTGACTCTACTGGGGCCAGAGTCTAAGATGGTTTCAATCACATTGTCTCAATGTCAGACTGTTGGTGCTGGCTATGGCTTGAGTCCACATGTCTTCAGCAGGTGACCCTGGACTTTTTTTGCAGGACAGCTTGTTTCCAGTCAAAGAGAAGGCAAGCTCTCCAATACCTAGCACTTTTCATACCTATGTTTGTGTTTCATCTGTTAATGTCTCATTGATGAAAGCAGGTCATATGACCAGTTCTGAAGTCATTGTAGAAGGAAACTACACAGGGATGTAGGTACTGGGAGATAGGATTCACTGGGGTACATTAATACCGTAACAGGCCAGGTGCAGTGGCTTATACCTGTAATCCCAACACTTTGGGAGGCCAAGGCAGGAGGAATGCTTGAAGCCAGGAGTTCAGGACCAGCCTGAGCAACAAAGTGAGACCCCATTTCTACAAAAATTTAAAAAATTAGCCAGGCATAGTGGTGTATGTGTGCCTGTAGTCCCAGCTATTTGGGAGGCTGAGGTGGGAGGATTGCTTGAGCCCAGGAGTTCTGAGGCAGCAGTGACTTATGATTGCACCACTGCACTCCAGCCTGGGTGACAGAGTAAAATCCTGTCTCCAAAAAAACACCAAAAAAAAAAAAAAAAACTAAACAAGATCCTTAATGTAAAACTCTGAGCACAGACTTTGCTTACGGTAATTCTTTATAATTGGTAGCCACTATTATTTTCAGTAAGATAATTTTGATCTCAACTTTCTTCAGGTGTCCTGTAGGGTCTCATTTCCGCATCACATGTTACTTCTTTTTGGTTTGCCCTCTTACTGCGCTGTTTTTCCTATGAGTCACCTTCCATTGTCCCTGTTTTCACTCTAGATCATCTGCTGCTTTTCAGTCTTGGAGCATCTTTATTTTATTTTACTTAGTTTTTCTCTGCTATATCTAGAACTTATCCTTCCTTAATAATCTATTCCAAGACATCTAGCTCTTATCTTTCCTGAGAATCACTGGAGAATTGGACCTCTTCCTTGCAGTTTTACATAAATTGATATACTTAGTCCCTGTGTTTATGTCTCTTAGAATATGTATAAAATAACATTTTATTATAGAGAAATACAGTTATACTAAATTTGTAAAGAATAGGAGAACTCAAAACAAAATTTAACCTTCAGCCCCACCCTCTAGAGATAGTCACTGCTAACATTAATATATCCTGAAAATCATTCATTTAATTCACCAAATATTTATTATTGATAAATGTTTACTAATAAGATCATACCTTATTAATTACTAGCCATATAATATCAGTTATTAAGGGTTTCCTCTGTGCCAATAACTGTTCTAAGTGCTGGCGATATAGCAGTGAGCTGAACACACAAAGCCTTTGCTGTCAAAGTGCTTACATGCTAGTGGAGGAAAGGAGAAAATAAATGAAGGCTTATTATATTATTAGATAATGATAATGGTTATGGAGAAATTAAACCAGGATATATCAGTCAGGATTCTAGCAGGAAACAGATGGCTCATTCCAGTGCAGTAATTCAGAGTTTCATGAAGAGGATGGGGATGATTACAGAAGTCAGCAAAGGATGGAGAACAGCCATGGATCAGACAACACTGGGGAGCAGTTACTACCTGTAGGTCTTCAGGGACCAGGGGAGAGATTGATTATCAGACCCTGGAAAGTATAGCTGTAGGATTTAGCCATCTGATAGGAGCTCTGGCCTTTGCTAAAAGGCTCAGCTACTGGCCCAGCAAGGAGAGAGCCAGGATGTAGAGTGACCAGTTCATCCCAGTTTGCCTGGAATTTAGCACTGAAAGCCTCAATAGCCCCTTCAGTTTTAGGCAAACCAGTACAGTCAGTCACTCTACTATTTTCCTACTTGTGCCCAAACCTACTTGCATACCAGAGGGCATGGAACCCCAGGTGGTACAATCTGTCAACATCAATCTCCTGGTACAGAGCAGGGTAGGGCACAGAGCAGGGTGGAGAGTAGATCTGGAGAGGTAAAAGGAGAATATTCATTATAATCCACCACTTTTATCCTGTAATATCTACCCCAACATAGCAGAAAAACAAAGTCCCTTAAGCTGCCATTTAATTTCAAGTTGACATAATTAAATCATATTCCCACCGGAAACCTGGAATTTAACTCCCACTAGTGCCCTTCATATAAAATGGTGAGGGAAAGGGGGAAAAGGCATAATTAACATAAAGCATGATGGCTACTGTTTTTGCTATTCACAAAGCCTAAATTGATAATCCTAATTATCTTCTTCCATTACTCATTTTATATCTCCCTTACTCTCTGCCAGCACCTCAGTGGCATAAATTTCTTTACCTAGTTAAGTAATATAAAGCTGCTTTCCTGGATGATCTGAGTCCTCAGTAATCCTGCTTCTTTCAGGCTGCTTCAGTGTACCATTGACTAGGCCTACTAGACATGAGAGGACTAAGACGCATCCCATTGAATCCTCTTGAGTTCCAGACATACTCTTTCTATAAATGCCCTTCCTGTGTTGCAGCAACCAGTTCCCCTTTGGTAATTGAGATCAGTCATCCTGGACAGTAAAGTGATCCCTTCTATGTTGGTTCAGCAGCATGAGGATCCCAGAATGACCAGGAGACAGTTTCATCTTTGAAATTAACAAAATCATGACTTTGTTCCATGGTGGAAACATTTCTTCTTTGAGCATGAGCATGAGAACTTCAAACTCACCATGCCCACAATTAGGGGGATAGAAAGCAAAAATAATACAAGCAAATGATTAGGTCTCTAATAAGAGGAACCATTTTTGCTCTTCCTCCACCCTTGGTTCCTGTACCTGTATATGTATTCTGGCCATGGTGAAAAAAACAATATTTATTGTCCTTTGATTTAAGGCATATATTGCATCTATATGACAGCACCCCAGACTTACAGGGTGTTGTGTTGTTGACATAACTCAGCCTTTAGCAGATAATTCCACATACTTTTTGATTAATGGGCATATGGCAAGACCTATGAATTACATGTATGTGAACTCACTGCTATACTTTTTTTCCTGAAAAATGAGTTACTTGGAGGCAACAGTATCGAATACTGTGGTAATAAACATAACTTTAAGTCAATGCAAATTTATATCTGGACTATGTATTTAATACTTTGTAAACAAATTGCTGCCCTCTTTTTGATAGAAGTGGTTCAATGTAGTGAATCTGCCCCATTTCTAGGGAATGGTACCTTTTTAGGGGCTTGGTTTTGGTCTTGGCTGTTAGCTGCTTGGGCACATAGAAGCTGTGATAGGCATATCAGCCTTAATGAGGGGAGGTCCATATTGTTGAGCCCATATATAGTTTTCATTCCCACTGCCATGACTACTTTATACATGAGCCTGTTGGATAAGCATTGGAAAAGAGACTGGTTGACAGTCATAAAGTAGATCATCATATCTGTCTGACGGAAAGGCTTCTCCACAGTGGATGCCCTTTGGTGAGGATTCACACGTGACACAAATATATTCACATTCATTGCCCTTTCTGGGAATTCCATCCTCACTCATACTTTTCCCCTAGAATCTTTGCTTCCAGTCCTCCAATCTTGTTCTTTCTAGGTACCTCCATAATCAAATAACCCATTAGTCACTACCCATTAATCAATATAAACATATCTTAGGCTATGTTACCTTCCGTGAAAACTGGACAACTAGATACATACGTGAAATTCTGCCCACTGGGAGGATTTGCCTGCACCAGTGTGTTTGAGGCCACTTCTGAGTAGGGGTGTAAGTGAAAGCTGTTTACTTTTGGCTGGTGCCACTCCCCACCATCTGTAAACCAGTTCTATAATTTTTCCTCGGCTGTTAACTGGTAATAAGGAATTCCCATGAGACCATAAACATAAATTGAGGGGGAGAGGTAGTGAAGCAATAAGACCAAGTACTGTGGAATTCTAGTCACTTGCATATGGAATTTACTTTCCTTCTAGACTTCCTTTTGCAATGGAACGTTACTTTGTGTGTGATTTGGTGGAATAACAACCAGTACACAATGAGCAGTCTGTAATGTGTAGTCACTTGGTGCTCTGTGTTCAAATGTGAAATCTCTATCAGTACCCAATAGTAAGCCAGGATCTGCTTTTCATATAGAAAATTGTTGCTGAGGCCGGGCGCGGTGGCTCAAGCCTGTAATCCCAGCACTTTGGGAGGCTGAGACGGGCGGATCACAAGGTCAGGAGATGGAGACCATCCTGGCTAACACAGTGAAACCCCATCTCTACTAAAAAAAAAAATACAAAAAACTAGCCGGGCGAGGTGGCGGGTGCCTGTAGTCCCAGCTACTCGGGAGGCTGAGGCCGGAGAATGGTGTAAACCCGGGAGGCGGAGCTTGCAGTGAGCTGAGATCCCGCCA